AAAGGGGATTTTTGGCTGTGGTGATCACCACCCCCTCTTTTACAAGCCACCTCCAGCTGACACTTTCCCAGCTTGAGCAGCCGTTCACAGTTTTCTCGATGACCAGCTCTTTTTTGGTCGTAAAGTACAGCCGTCACAGCTCGGTAGAAGGCCTCTTCCCAGTTCTTGACCTTGAAGCCCAAATCCGGAGGGTAAACCCGTCCATAGCAGGCCATCTTTTGAGCCTCCGGCAAACAGTTTCCTGGAGCGGGCCCAGTTTTCGGGTGGAAGGTTCCCCATGTTGGGGCGCTGCATTCCGATTTCAGGTGGTGATGAACCACGTCGGGAAAGCTTTCAGGACATCGAGAACTGTAGGCGGAAAGGAAGCGGATACGGGCAAAGTCGGCCACGGTAGCTTCCGGGTAGCTGCAACGGCTGCACCGGCCGCCCACCAGACAGCCGAGGTACTGCTCCAGGCCGTGGCAGCCTACCTTCTTCCGCTTATCATTTTGCCCACTGTTGATAAGGTTACCTCCAAATCATACACACGACTTAATCATCTTCAAACACACCAATTGGTGCACACTAGGGTCCGACCGCACAAATGCACAACATGCTCTCAAGCATTCACAAAACTTAGTCGTCTCAAACGACATCAAGTGGTGCACACTGACGCCCGACCGCACAAATGCACAACTTGCTTCAAATTTTTTAAAACTAAAATGGATCTCAAAAAACACCAACTGGTCCACAGCAACTCTAGACCATTTCAATGCACCGTTTGTCAGCAAACTTTCAAACAAAAACAGGTTCTCAAAAACCATCTTCAAGCTAAGCATTCACAGTAATGCTGCATTCTTACCTGCCCTTTTTATGGCAGTTCTTCTACATATTCAGTTACTATTCATTTTATTTACCCAACGACAAACTATTTTGCCATATCTAATATCACTTGTATTTTTTATAAAACACAATTTTGAATTTAAATAAAAATGCTCGTCTTTATCTCGATCGAGCCTTTTTCTGGATAAAAAAATTCTCTTTTTTAATACTTCTTTCTTTGACAAGGTAAAAGACTCCATAAAACCTTTAGCTCAGAACAGCTCAACTTTTATGGCCATTCTGGAAGTTGTTAGCGCAACTGAGTGTTTTCGCGTTACAGCTTCTTTCTGCTGCTGTCTCCGTTTACACATATTCTAATTGGTTTCCGGTGTTGTTGTTTTCTGCCACGAGTTGAGCAAGTAATTTGCGTTGCTGCTGCTGCTGGGTAACAGATAAGAATGTACTACTAATGTACTATTTATGTTTTGGCAATTTCAATCGTTTTGCTCTGAAACCAAGGAATAACTAAAAAATGACAATCTGGAATAATACAAGAGCCAATAAAATCAAAAATTTTTCTTACTCTCACCTTATGTTTGTCACTTAATTAATTAAATTTTAAGATTTTAAAAAATTAATAATTAAATAAACGGAAAAAGTTATTAAAACAAATGTTAGTACTGATAAAATAATCAGAATATTTTTTTGAAAAACATTTAAATTTACGTTGCCAGTTATGCTCAAATTTGATTTTTTATCGGTGATCAAAATGTTGTTTGCATTGTTTAAGTTATTATTTTGCAATGTGTTTTTAATTTTTGTGCCAGTCAAAGCAATTACAACAAGATTATTTTTATATATTGTTGTTGTTTTGTTTTTATTGCGGTTTTTATTTTTTAATTTCATTTTAATAGTTTATTTAAAACTTTTCATTGATAAATTAAAAACTTATTTTTATAATTAATCAAAAATTTGTGCTTTATATAGTGTTTAAAATGTTGTAATCTTGAAAGGCGACAAAATGAGAAAATATTTCAATTTTGATAATTTTTATCAAATATAGTAGTTTAGGGGGAACACCGCGCACTTTTTGACTGCTTTTTCGAATTTTGATTTTGGGGTGGCTATAATGTTTATGAAAAGTACACTCAATACAAGTTATTAGGAGTTTCATGTGGAGCAGTTTTATAAAGATAACTTGGTTCTCCGATGACTGGGTCGCCATCAGCAAGAACTTACGTTTCATGAACACTACGGTACACTTTCCGGCAAAATAGAAAATGGCATGGCTTGATCAAAAATGCCGAATGAAAGGTAACAAAAAAATCTAAAACTTGATCGTCTTCGATTAATTTTTAAAGGTCTTAGTTTTTCTTGAACGATTTTTGATTAAAGATTTTGGATAAAAAATCATAAAAATTTGAAAAAAATAAAAAAAACTTTAAAATTAATTTAAAAAACAAGTAAAGTTAAATCAGCGAATCGAAGACGATCAAAATATAAATTGAGTTGTTATCTTTCATTTGGCATATCTGATCATGCCATGCCAACTTCCATCTTGCCGGAAAGTGTACCGCGCAGTGCAAAGATTTTAGTAAAAAACGAATCATTTTTCTGCTTTCCCTTTCACTGAACACTATTTGTAATCTATTTAGCTATTCTTAAAATAAAGTGTTTTTTAAAAACATTTTTTATTTTTGCAATGGTATTTTTGCAAACATTACCGACACCTGTTGCTGGTGAACAACAGCAAGTCAACTAACTGTTTAAAAAACTGTAAAGTGAAAAAGACAGACAGTTTCTCAAAACCATCGATACCTGAACAAATGCAAATTAATCGAGAAAGGCCGGTTCGGCACATGCACGTGGGCCCTAGGGACACGTGAGCTGCAGTAAAGGGAGAGAAAGAGAAAGTGACCACAGGCTTGCTCAATGGTATTTGTTTTGATTTGAGCCGTTTATATTGTCCATTGTGTCTTCAGCTGCTGAATCTAACTTTACTTCTTTCCATTTGATTTGTTGTTTGTCTAACCAGTTACAGAGGAAAATGTCTGACACTGAGCAGCTGTTCGGAACTGACGGTGACATGTACGACGAGTTTGATTGTGAAAATAATGATGAAGAAAATGGTGAAGAAGAGAATAAGGGAATAGTAGTGAAAGAAGAAAAAGATTCGGAGATTGAGAACGATGTTTTGGAAAGTGTCGATCAACCAGTAGGCAATGGTAAGTGGTAGGAAATTGATACTATTAACTTTAATAAAAAACTTTTTTTAAATCAACAAAATTAAAATTTAAAACTGAAGAACAGGATGAAACGCCAATTGATATGTTCGACGATGAGTTTCATTTGATTATGGAAAATAATTTTGCTGTTACTGCTGAAAATGTGATTGAAGTGAATGAGACATTGAGTGAGAATGAAGAATCGGAAACAGACTCTGATGCCACTGAAATTGATGATGAGGATTATGAAACAGTCAGTGGTGAGTGGGCACTGGGTGTTTATTTATTCTTTTCTGTAACACTTTTCATTCTGCAGAACCTCAGCCAACTGAAGCGGTGGTTAATGTAAATTCAAACAGTGCTTTCGGTGAACAACAGACAAACCATAGTAAAAGAAATGACAAAGCGCACAAGTGTCAGCAGTGCCACAAAAGCTTTGATCGTTTATCTGATCTCAAAACACACCAACTGATGCACACTGGCGTCCGACTGCACAAATGCACAGTGTGCTCCAAATCATACACACGACTTGATCATCTCAAAACACACCAATTGGTGCACACTGGTGTCCGACCGCACAAATGCACAGTATGCTTCAAATCATACACACAACTTAGTCATCTCAAAACACACCAATTGGTGCACACTGGTGTCCGACCGCACAAATGCTCAATTTGCTCCAAATCATACACACAACTTAGTCATCTTAAAACACACCAACTGATGCACACTGGTGTCCAACCGCACAAATGCACAGTATGCTTCAAATCATACACACAACTTAGTCATCTCAAAATACACCAAATGGTGCACACTGGTGTCTGACCGCACAAATGCTCAATTTGCTCCAAATCATACACACAACTTAGTCATCTCAAAACACACCAATTGGTGCACACTGGTGTCCGACCGCACAAATGCTCAATTTGCTCCAAATCATACACACAACTTAGTCATCTCAAAACACACCAATTGGTGCACACTAGATTTCTACCGCACAAATGCACAAATTGCTTCAAAGAATTCAAAACCAAAATGGAACTCAAAACACAATAGCTGGTGCACACTGGCGTTCGACCGCACAAATGCACAGTATGTTTCAAATCATTTTCAAAAAATAGCAGTCTCAAAAGGCACTAACTGGTCCACAACAACTCTAGACCATTTCAATGCACCGTTTGTCAGCAAACCTTCAAACACAAAAAAGATCTCAATGGCCATCTTCAAGCTAAGCATTCACAGTAATCTGCCTTTTTACCTGCCCTCTTTATTGCAATTCTTCTACATATTTAGTTATTATTCATTTTATTTACTTAACGGCAAACTATTTCGCCATATCTAATATCACTTGTATTTTTATAAAAAAAACAATTTTGAATTTAAATAAAAAAACATAAAAAAAATGTGTGTCGGTGTCTTTATTACTCCGTGTTGACAAAGACTGTGTTTGTTAGCTGTTCTTAAAAAATAAAATAAAAAACCAACAAAAAAACAAAAACAATTTTTTGTTTAATGAAAAGGATAAAAGTGCTCAACAGGGGGTGGTTCTAAACAAACAAACAGAAAACTTTTCTTCCCCTTATTTTTTACCAGCGCCCAGTTTAGACTTGCCAGCAAAGACCTTGCCGGAAGTTTTTGCAGCTTTGCTCTTCTTACCTCCTTCTCCTCCTCCTCCACCTTTACCTCCAATCAGAGATGAGACTTTTCCACCACCACCACCACCACCACCAGGACTGGCAGGAGGAACTCCTGAGGAGGAGGAGGCTTTAGAAGCAGATGTTGTCGCAGATGTTGGCGGAAGTACTTTACTTTTTTTACCTCCCAAAACTTGTTGGGAACTAGCAGCAGAGCCAGGCAGGACGGACTTTGACTTGGAGAAGACGACAAAGCTGACGCTAGCGCCCACCCCCTCTCCGCCGTCCTCCGAATAATTTCGGCTATTGTTAAGCCCTAGCGAGCTTTTGTTGCTCTTATCACCGCTCTTGAAGTTAGGCTTTCCACCACCATTTTCAGCCTTGTTTTGGGCGGCGGCGTAGAAGTCGCGCATCTTCTTCTGCTGCCGCCTCTTCCGCTCGGTGCAGAGACAGCAGTAGGCGAGGAGCAGGCCGACGAGGAGAAGGGCTAGGAGTGACC